TTAATTAACCCATATTTAGCCAGGTAAGACCTGACTCTTTTACAAAGGACACCTGGCCAAGACAGCAGCACAACAAGGTTACAGACACAAACAATAACCACAAGAAGATTTAAATTAATGTGTCAAAATAATACTGCTGAAAAGATCAAAGTCTAAGGTTTACCATAAGCTCTGTCAATACTTGTCTGCTCCTTTGTTTTTATGCATAAGGGTAGTGGAATGAAGGGGAGAATATGTTTTTGTAAAATATAGTATAGTATACAGGTATGTGACTGGCAAAGGGCAAAAAAGCAGGAAAATATACAGAGACACCCTGATTAAACTGGCAGCGGCAGGACCCATGACAATAACTTATTTGGTGGATGTGTAGTGGGAATCAGACAAATGTCTAATCCACTGCTCCATCGCAACCTCTCAACAGCTAAATATGCAACATGAAATAATTTACTCTATAACTAAATAATATAACTACTAACTTTCAAATTACTTCAGTTGAAGTTAATAGATTCTTTTTAATGAATAAGAGACAGCAGCAAAGGTTGTCGCCTGTGTAAGACCTGGTGGCCAAACTGTTAAAGAAACAGTTATATTATTATGAAATTTTGCCAAACTTGCCAAAACCTTTAACATAAGGACGACCTAAAAAGCAACCATTCATACAGCAAAGTGTAGCCTATTTAGCCCATGACTGATCAATCGACAACAAAGTCAAAGTAAACATTAGATAGCTTATAACAAGCAATAATCAAAACATTCCCAATTTATCTGATCCTTATTGTCAACTCAGTGTTGGGCAAGTTACTCAGAAATAATATAGTTATTACCAATTAGTTACTCAGCATATACTCCTTAAAAAAGTAATATCAGCTACTCCACTTATTACTGGGGGATATAAAGCCACTTTCTCCCGATCATAGACTGTAGTCCAAGCATCACTGGCAGCAGCGGCCGGAGTTTCTTTCTGAGTTTCACATTGCTGTGTTGCTTTAGCTGATGCTTCAATTCCCAATGCAAATTTGAAATGTCGGGGGAACTCTTTAGCTCCACATTTTAGAGGGCTGTTACCATTTGCGTTGAGAGTGACAACTGGACACGTGTGACATATATTACATGTAATTTTTGTCTACAACACAATCCATATGGTTTATGCACCATGCAAAAGAACCATGTGGATAAAGATGCCACACCTCTGCTCTGACATGAGTCACCCTCTCTGTGGTTTCTGAGCTTTGGCATTATTTGAGCAGCTGTTGATGTTTGGACACTTTTCACCGTGGGACAGAAGCATGGCAGAGAATCACCCTCTCTGTAAACAAACCACAGTAGCTGATAAATGCACAAACATCTTCACAATTATAGCCACCAGAGTTTTTTAAAACAAATGTGGTTTGAGAAAGATGGCCACTTGCCAGTGAGGCTGCCAAAGTACTGAAGCTTATCAGGCACGCTAAGTTTTTCTTTTAAAATGATGACAGGGGTTGTTCCAATTCCCGATTCATCTATATATATATATACTCTGAATGCATATTACATAACTTTTAACTGAAACACTACTGTAGCACTGAACCAAACTAACAAGTAAAGTAAGACATTAGAACAAAAAGCAATGAAGGTGTTCAGACAGAGAGAGGGAGAAATCTGTTAGCAGTTAAATGACCTGCAAAACTCATTAACGCTTGCTGTGTTGCCATGTTATACCGTCCATGCACAAGGATGTAATGTGAATTTGCAGAAAGATAAAAATTTAAACAGTGTAAAATAACACCTTTGGTCAGGCTAGTGATGGGTATCCTCATCTGAAATGACTTTGAGGTGGGAAATTAATAACAGAAACATTTTCTTTTGACATCTTATCCATCCTCAGGAATGCCTGGAATGTGCTTTCTTGCTGAAATCAAAAAAGGTGGGGCTTTTTCCACTGCATGCATACCGCCCTCGAAAACTCTTCTGCCATTTGATAGCTACTGCACCTATTGGCTTGGAAGTACAATGCATCTTTGACAAGACAACAGAGGGTAATTGAGCCGTCGCTTGTGTTGAGGCCTTGAAGACCTCAATAATCTCGAGTGGGGGTTGAGTGAATATCCTTGAGCAGAGTGTTCTGTGTTGTATCTATTATACAGCTGTTTATACTGAGATGTGATGATTAGCAAAGCCGTTTACATGATGGATAGTTTCCTGTTTTCCAAAATGCTAATATTTCCCCTGAAAACATCAATTTCTCAAAGCAAAACCAGTGCACTGCATACAGGAGTGACAAACACAGACTGTATTTAGCCATGACAGGAGATGTACTCACACATGAATCAGTGAGTACAGCTTTAGTCTTGATGGATTACCTTCATTTCAGTGTTCAAAATGATATCTGAATAGCTGCGGATAAGATAAAGCACATAAATGTGTACCATTACAACATTTTAATTCCTAATTCTAATACATATTTAACAGGCATGGGAATGAGCATCTTTTATCCAAGTTGCCTGTAATTCCAATAGCTCTGCATTAATTTATTTCTCTTGTAGTTGTCTGTCAAATGATCACTTATCTGATTAATCTCACAGGCATCAATTTTGCTTAAAAAAGGGTCTCTAATGAAGTGTATACACAGTGCAAATTGTTCCAGCTCAGCTAATCTGTATGCAGCTTAGCAAGGCAGCAGCTGAGATATGAAAAATGAGCGGCCTTGAGGATCTACTCTGCTATACATTCCACCGAGAGGGCTGTACAATTGATCTTGATCGAGCCCAATTATTTTTTCCATCTAAAGTCTAAAACTTCGGAGTGAATGTCAGTGCCGTTTTCTGCGTAATAAAAGGCATCAATCTATACTGAGGTGACGCCAACCAGCAAGCACTGCTTATGTCACAGTTTTGCACATGGGCTCAGCAACAGGTGCAGGGCTGCTCAGACGCGTAGTTGAAATCATCACTGGTGCAACACTGCTCTCTAGTGGCACATCAAAGCTTTGCCAAAGTTTCTAATAATGAAGCTTCAGCAGTCTGACATAAAAAGCAAGGAAGTATCCTCAAATGTTTTTAATACAAAATTCCCTCTTTTATTGTACACCCCCCACCCCCACCCCCAGAAACTTTACACAGAGCAAGGATGGATACTGTCCCCCATGTCTTGCATTGGAATCACATACGGAAGAGATTTCTTCATGTAAAGGAGCATTTGCAGTGCGAGTTTCACGCATTTCTCATTACTGAGCTCATTCTTTTAAAACACACAGTCGGCACAGCAACAGTCAATGTGGACTAAACTGTGGAACACTAGTCATCGATCTGACACTAAATGCATTCAATGACAACATCTTTCAAACGACATGAATTGTTTTCTCACTCCCACTTATCTCCACCAAATGTGTGTATTTGCACATGTTAATGTACCCTTTTGAAATAGCTTAAATAAGATAAAAGGAATTAGGATGTAAGTACAAAATAGAAAAGATGGGAACAGTGTTCTGGTTCGAGAGATGTGTTTTGAAGGGTTGTGGTTGCATTGCTGCATCTTGGGTGTGAGATTAACTGTTGTGTTGAGCTGAGACTTTGAGATAGATATCAGTATAGACAAATGTGGGTAACCAATTGTGAAAAACTTTTAAACACATTTGAGTAAATGTACACCTACAAGGAAAGTGAAAAAGAAAATTCCGAGCTCAGATTCTGCACACTTCTGCATTATGTTGTCTGTAGGAACCAGATAAACCTAGTTAAATATAATATACTGTATAACCACCTACTTCCTGTGTATAAAGTAACCTATTACACTAGTCACTCAATATTTAGTCTAGCACTCTTCGGCCTTTCACTATCGTATTCTTATCAGTTCACAGTTTGACTTGTACATATTGTATGTTGTTGTTCTTTGTTGCCGTTTATATTTATTTATATACATGTTTTTACACCTGTAGTTAAACTGTTTGTATTAACTTTGTTCAGCTTTGTTGTTGCATCCTTGTCTTTATCTCTAGGTCCATTTGAAGCTACCTCAAAACTACACTACACACACTTGGCCAATAAAGCTGTTTCAGATGAGCATGTTTATACAATGCATAATATAATGCATTTTAAAAGGGTACATGAAGGTCTGTTTAGTTGTCACAGAGAGCAGTCCTCCACCTGTGAAACCAGTTATGTCTTCTTTGGCTCTGAAGGGAGCTTTCTGAAATAAAGGAAATAACCCCGATCATGTCATCAAGGTCGTCTCGGAGTGGGTTGGAGACCTTAACTGGAATATGCCAGATATACTGTTGTTTTACATACAGGGGGCTATAAGGTTTGAACTAAACGGCATTTTGGAGACTGGAACATAGACAGTATATTACTGAACGAAGCCACCCTGCAGATTCGAATGGAGAGCAGTGAAGCCAGTTTTGGACCAATAAAATACTACTACAGGGCTACTTCCTGCTTGCACCAGCGTCTACTGCATATGATCGCTCAGCATAAGCGTGGTTTAATGACATAGAGCAACAGCAGACACACCGTAGTTCTGGTAGTTGCATAGCTGCGCTATGTCGCACAAACAAGAAGTTTCATGGCTCAGTGTATTTGTCTGACTCAGATCGTCACTGTTTCATCAACCCACCTATGAGGCTCACCTGCCAAACACCAAAGTAGCTTTACTGATGGCCGAATGTTTATTATTTTTAGATTCACTGAGAGTTTATAATCTAAGCAATACGGTTACATCTCTCATGTGCATCGGGATGACACAGAGTTTTGATTTGTCATTTTTGGGCCTACATGAAACCATTGCATTATGGGAAATGTAGGTTGCTTTTGGAGATCGACCCATACTAGGGACTAAAATTCAGGATAATTCCATTTTAAGGCTGATCTGATAAAATTATAATTGGTATACTCCAAAAAGTAAGTAAACATCAATAGAAACAAATCATGACAGTCTAATAGTGTGAAATTAAGTAAATAAGGTCTATTTTGGAATCTGAGTGTACTGCAGCTATTGTTCAGGTAAAGCAAGAAAATAACACTAACAAGATTATAAACAACAGTTTAATACAGAAGACGTATTTCTCCCGAAACAGAAAAAAAAAAAGTAGCAAATTCCCCACAACTTACAACTGGAGAGATCCGATAGGTCAACCACCATGGGAATAAACATGAAGTTAACAAACATGATGTATTTTACAGTGGAGGCCTGTAACTATGGTTAAGGTAGTCAATTGACATCATAAGATCCCCTGTTATATACTTTCCACAAAAGCCCCAAATAGATTCATACAGCGATCATTTTGTTTTACTTTCGTCTCATTTTCTGCAATGTTCAGAAACTGTATACAGATTATATTGTTGCTGAAGCAAAACACAGCAGGTGGATTATTCGGGAGCATCTTTTAACAGTGTTATTTCGAGATGATCTGAAACGCAGTGATACAAAAGAAGCAAGAAAAAAATAAAATAAAAGCACAGTAATGACCTTTCCCAAAACAATACTACAACACACCAGAAAACACAAACAGAAGAAATACACAAACGTTGCTGACTTCTACCAGCCTGTGGTAGATTAACATGAAGATTAAAAGGAACGAAAGCTGCTATTGAAAAATTTTGCATTACTCTTCAATTTGCAACGATTCTAATGAAAACAGCTTCTCTCTTTTTCAGCAACTGCATTAAATGCAGCCTTCAGATCCAAAAATGTTTTGAGCCTTAGCTCACAGCCTTGTATGGATTTTTTTCAGGATTGTTGCACATTTTTTTTCCATTTGATGATCTTTTTCTCATTATATTCATAACATCACATCCGATTATTTCACAGCTGGATCTAAAACTACAGTGTTTTTTTTTCCTTTTTACATGTGGTAAGGGACTGAACTACACATTTCCACACTTCTGAAGACCTTTTATCTGATTCCACAGTTCTCACAGAAATAATTAAATTCATGTTCATACCGTTTGCACAGAACCTCACTTTCTGTAATATGAAAGCAGCGACAGACAGAACCCAGGAGTAGAGCTGACTATCATCGGTGGACAACCACTTGTCTACTGCCAGGAGTCATCAGCTTGTCCTTGCTCACTTCCATTCACAGATCTAATAGGCACTTGAACTACCTAATGTGCCAGTATAATCCCCATGATATACTACACAGAACCAGTTACGCTAAACACTCGAAACAATTAGTGCATTCATGAAGTAGTTCTCAGTCAACAACACATGCAGTATTAATGAAGCATTAAGAGTAATATAAAACACAATTATTTCAGTATTTCAGTAAGTATTTTCTGTCACACAATGTTCTTGAGCTACTGTGTTCAGAACATCTACTCGTTTCCCCAATCGTACTTTTTGGAATGAGTCAATTGTTTGAGATCTGTGAAAGGAAGTGGCCGCGGACATACGGCGGGAGACGTTTTCATAAAAACACACTTGAAAGTTATGTGTCTCTCTGATTATCTGCATCTCTGGTTTATCCTCATCCTAGCTGGGAGGCAGGTTCTGCAGTCCTGACCGAGGCACACAGGCTTGCTGATGTCATTTGTTATTGCCCAACTCATCAGATGATCACTTTTTTTTTTAAAACAATACAAAGTAGAAAAACAACTTAGTTCTAAAAACCCCCAAACACACACACACACACACACACACACACACACAGTCGCATTCAAATAAACATCTGCTCTCATGTGCTGAGAGTTAGGCTGGCAACGATCGCTGAGGTTGAATGTAGGAAGGCAGTGCATGGAAAAGGCAAACTGGCATCAGGGATCGATTAGGTGGACCTGCTCTCGACTCGGACTCAATGTGGCTTACAGGGCCGTCTTGCTGACTGACTTGTGGAGTTGCACACGGTGTGTAGGGGGGTGGGGCTTCATTTATGCTGATGGTGTCTCCTCCCTCAGAAATGAGAGGAGTCTGATGGAAGGGACGAAGAGCGTCGGCCTCCGCGGCATGAGCGTACTGGCTGTAGGGAGGGGGCTTCAGGTCATCCTCTGAAAGGACAGGAGAAAACAGATCAGAAGGGTGATCAGCTGTCTAAAAAATGTAAACATTAGGTCAAATAAGTTTCAACAATAGGGCTGCAGGTCTAATCAAAAAAGCTCCCGATCTCAATTCACACCTGCAATCTCACTTTTATGTGACAATGATTCTGCCGTGTGCGCAGTTGCATCAAAACAAACGCTCCAAATTTCTCCCTAAGCTGCATCAACAAATGACAAGTGTGTGTCTGCGTAGCAAGAGAGACAAGGCAGCGAAATGTGGTGAAAGACAAAGCTTTTTAGGAACAACAAAAACATGTCAGAGTTTTGGATACCCAGTGATGCTGAAGAATGACAAAAACGTTGTCGGAGAAAACAGACCCCGGAGCACTTCTCATCAAGTTGTTATTTTATTTTACTCTCGGTTCAACAGTGTTCCTTGTTTGCCGTATTCTCATTACAAAACCTGCTCTCTTTTCATTTGTCCATTACCACCGTGGCACCTCCGGTACACTCTCCTCTCCTTCAGAAGGTGCGTCTCAATTCTCTTAATTGCATCCATGTTTCCCTTACCCGAGTCTTTTTCCATCCCACCAGAGATGCATGGTGGGACGCAAGGAAACCATGCGAGGAGAGAAGAAACAAGGAAATATGTTTTGTATTGAAATGAGACGTCTTTTCCTCCGAACTGTCACGTGAAGCGATGCCTGTTTCTGATGATGGTGGCAACTGATGCAGCTGTATCAGCTGACACTCGGTTTTAACAGCTGTAGAGGCTTTTGATGGATCTGTGGCTGCACACATGTGCACTGTGCTGATACTAAAAAAGAAGCAGCATGTTTTCCCTCTGTAGCCGTTACCTGTATAACAAACACCTGCACATGAACAACAACCTGCAGTCTGTATTTATACTATGACCTGCTCAGAGGCACTGGATCATTTCTACAGGCACAATGTGTTTATTTATTTATTCATTATTTGCATCTGTATTTATTAGTATTTTGATTGTGAATTAATTATTGAATAACCCAGAATATGATCATAGTGTCTTTTGATTTATAAGGCTAAATGTTTCAGGGAAAATTGAAGTGATGTAACCCATATCAAAGCCAACTCTCCGGAATTATCAGCCTCACATCTGACTGAATGGAAATGGTGATAAATGATGTATAAAAGCATTTCTTGCTGACAGACACTGCCGACTCTCTGACTTTAATTGCCTCTAAAATAAAAGTTAGTGGAAATGAAAAAATCTTTCTAATAAGTGAAGAAAGTTGTTTGTGGTCCTTTTGGTTTTCAGACCTACAATGAACACAGATTTTAACTAGATAGTGAATTAGAAAACTAATCAAATATAAAACTTGGGTGTGACACACTGGAGTTTCAATTCAGTATGAAACTGCAGCAATGCCGTGATGTATCAGATCAGTCCAATCAGCTGCAGCGTCCAATGAATAACTAATATCCGATAAGAGGGCGTGTCGGCTAGTAAAAGGCTCCCGTGATGGCTGGTCTCGTGTATCCTTAGTCATTGCTCCTCAGAGATCGCTCCTCGCTGCACAAGTAAGAACTTTGGGATGGTCTGCATGATGGCGGAGCAGAACAACTTCCAGGTTCAAGCGAGGAAGCGACAAATAAAATAAACTGAGATGCACCTACTGTCTCAGCCTAACCACACTCACTCTCTCTCTCTCGACTCATTTATTAACCTGAAAACAACATGACCTATCAATTAGTCCTACACTGAAGCCACTGGCTCTGACCTGGCGCATGCAAATGACTTAAACTACATTAATGTAAAGTTTGGAAGTTACAAATGAGCATGTGACTGGGAGTTTTTTATTTATTTATTTTTCCTCAAATGGTCACAGAATTACAATTTGACAAAGATTATGTAAGAAACTGCGCCAGCGCAGACGCATTACGCAAGTGTACAAAATTATTTTCCTACCTATAGTACTTTTTATCCATGCATACATTTCCCCAATTAAAATTTTTATATTACAGCAAGCCCCTAGACACCATCTGGTATCTTTGACAGGGGAAAAAAATCTGATGTGGGGGTGAAAATGAGGTTGCAACATTGTGTAACGCAATTAGTGCTGTCACCACTTCCACCCTCCATGAACACATCCTGCTTACTGAATGAGCCCTTTAGATGAAGTAAAATGCAATTTGTCAAGAAACAGACTCTGAAACTTGACACAAAGATTACAAAAACTGGCCTGGGTAGCTCCTGCCCTATTCATGAAGTCACAATGACAATGTTGAGAATCAGCAGTAAGTCACATGAAAGACGAGCTCCTTTAAATGTTACTGGGAAGAAAGGTCAACATCAGATTGGCTGGGGATAGTAATAACATTTAAAAATATTAAATTAAATAGGATTGGCATAGGGGGAACAAAGATTTAAAAAACTGCTAAAGTGGTAAAGGTCTGACTGCTCCCAGAGCACCAGCAGAGTGCTGAGTACATGAAGTCTCTTAGTGGAAAGAGTTAGATGACAGGTTTTCCCTTACTAGCTTTGCTTCTGCCTGCAGAGCTGAAAACACAAGAAATGACTGAACTGACATGAGCGGCACACATCAAGGAGACCTGGTACACAAAGTAAACCTCGAAGCGTCTGATGGAGTCATAATGCTGGCAGTGTTTCAGAAGCCGGTGGCCAACTTTTGTCATGAGTAGTTCAAACCTGTGCTCAACAAGTGCAAGCAACTGGATTAATAAACTGTACTCTGATGTGTGTCTGAGTTTTTTGTGGGTTACGGTGAAGGAGTAGTAATTTTAAGCTTAAACTGGATTTCTGTGGTAATGGGCAACGCTGTAACCACGGTGACAACGGGCGTAGGCTCCATTATGCTGTAGGCTGACATGCACCTCTATAAAAATGTAAAACGCTCAGTTATCTTTTCCTTTTCAAAGCCACCTCCACTGCAAACCTTCTTCTCACAATAAACTCTGCTCAATTGCAGTAAATCAAGCTATGTAAATACCACGACCAGGCGGAATAGTCAGTAATGAAACAAGGCAGACTTCCCCACTGTTGCTCGTAACACAAAGCGAATAAAACAATGTAAACAGAGTTACTGTGGGGAATGTAGTAATTAAAACACCATCTGGTCCGATCATGTATGATATACCTGTTTTAGTGCTGCGGTGGTGCTATCAACTGCTGAAATCCGACACTGAAATATTAATCAATACCCGTCATAGGTAGCTACGATGTGACTACCGTTAACCCCTAGCATCAAGCATAAATCTGGCTTTGCTTTGCTGGGTGCTGTGAACCAAGGAGGACTTGCCTTTTATATCTTAAAGTTGCAACTGAGTGAAAATATATGCAGCGGATAGCAGCCAAGAGCTGCCACTGACAGGAAGTTATGAATGAAGAAGTGCAAAAAATAAGAATGAAGCCGTCTTCCTGACTCAAATTTAGGTCAGCTATGTGAATGAGGAAGCAGCAGGCGCATGGTACATGACTGTGTTGAAGAGTGTGCGTGTGCTACCTCCGGAGACGGTCTCATATGGTGGTGGCATGTCCAAGTGGGAGTAGGAAGCAGCTGGTGGCAGGGCTGTGGAGGGCTCCTCTATTGACAGGTCATCCTGAACGCCGTACAGACTAGGCCAGACAGACGTTTGCTGCAGAGAGAAGGAAACATAGAGGGAGTTAATGATACACTCAAAAAAGCAGAAACACACAAGAATATACACTTAGACCTGCACTTGTACACAGACAGCAAAAAGATGCAGCTTACACCTTCATAAATCTGAAGCCAAGAAATCCCAACACTGCTAACACTATCAGGATACTAACTCGGTTGGTTTTACAGTACACATCTCCAGAGGTGACATTGCTGCTGGCTATGACAATATTGATTTATGTATTTTGGTTTAGCCCTGATGATAAAGGGGAGCCAGGCAACAGGACGGAGCCATGTGCACATCATCTCCGTTTAGCCCACTGATGTGTCGGTGTAAGTGTCATCGGTCCTCCAGCAAGAATCTATGGAAGAAGGGCGCTTACTTTATGTCTAATCATTATTCTATGGTCATAATTATTGAAATCTAAGTAGGCCAACAACGTATTAGACACACACCATTGTAGGCTAATCAATGGCATACATGTCAGTGACTTCTATCACCAGCAGCTCCTTACAAATACCAAAATATACTATATCTACAGTCAGGAATGTATTAAAAAATAAATACCGCCCAAGCCTACCAAACACCATGAAGCAAACAGTGAGACAATACTCCTGGAGAGAAATGAGATACTGTAGGTATGATAGACCCCTCTTTACTCTGTTTAAACGTGTTTTCTAACCATTGTGCTGACCAGCATGGAAACTTTCCACACCAAACCCGATGAACCACGAGGCTGCCCATAAAGTCGTTTACACAAAACGCAGGAGCGAGGCGTCTGCAAGTGAACGTCTGAAACAATGGATTCAAATCACACAAAATGAAACAGGGGTGTTTATTTTGATGACAAAAGATGACGAGGAGAGCAAGCAGCTATAATAGTCATAGTCAGTTTTATCAGCCAGTTAGAACGGTCAAGGTCTTTTATCTCCTCTACCTCCTCTGAAGAAGCTCTCAATGGGTTTTTTTTTTATAACCATGTTAGCTGGCTAACTACAGCAGGAACAGGAAGAAGGTTCATGCTGTTTGAGCCGATAATGCAGTGATGATGGACTGATTCCTTTGCAGACTGATGTCTTAATTAGCCCAAATTGCCATCCTGTTGTTGTGGGCGTGATAGAGAGCGTTGAGGAAAGATGCAGCACAGATAAACCACCCCAAGTTCAAGGTAATTACCGCACAAATAACCTGTAATAGCCTATAAAATAACATAATTACTGTGACACCTTTTTGCCAAATCAAACTGGATCCTCAAATCTTCCGTGGCCAGTTACCGGTCACATCTCTGCACAGCTATTTCTATAGTCCAAAACCAATTAAGATAAAGCCTAAGAATCTAAACTATTCAGTTCTTCCATCTCTCTACAGGGCCTACGTGTATCAAAAGTTTCTTTTCTCATAGCTCTAATGGATTCACTTTTCAGGTTAGCCGTGAATAAGATTGTCCAGGTGGCTTAGTGAGTGATACTACATTAAGACTTTCCCCTCCCACTATGTTTGATTCATTGAAAAAGGCCAGGACTCGAGTCGTCTTGGCGTCTCTCCAGAAAACGTTCAGGGTGCTAGGTTATGGATGACCAGGGGGCCTCCCTGCTGCACATTCCATTAAAATCTAAACAGGGAACATTATACACCAGAGACGGCAGAGGGAACTAGAAAGGAAGAGGAGCAGAAGGGGGGTAAAACGGAAGAGGAAGAGTTATGGAACAAGGACAGATTAGAAACTGGAGGAGGCTGAAGAGTAACAAGCCGAAGAGGGCTTCTGGGATACTGGAGGTTGGCCAGTATATGCATGTCTGATAAGACACGAAGAACGGCAATCTAAACTGGATTGGACTTTCTCTAAAATCAGACAAACATTACAGATAGCACACAGGATATTATAACTGGTCTGGGAAAACCCAAGGCCAACAGCCCAGGCGTCTCAGTTCCTACCGCATCATTTATTTATTTTTTTAACAACTGGGGCATTTCCTGTTTCCTGCACAAATATTTCAAACAATGCTAAAAATATCATAGTCTGCACCTCTTAAAGCGTAACTACAGCAATGAAAAATAACTCAGAAGAGGGGGCAGTGTCAAGATGAACAGGAAATGACTAAATTGACTTTTATGCGTTTGTCATTTGTGCAGCATCTTTTGCAATAGCTACTCAGAAGTGGACGAAAGTTGAGTTAGAAAAAAGTCTGAGACACCGGTTGTGATTCAGGGAGCATATTCTAGGTAGGGTCTGAATCATGGACATTGCTTCCAGGTGTTTTATAGAGGCAGTGAAGCAGAAAGGCCGTAGGAGAAGCACGAGCATGAGGACTGTCTAAACCTTTTGGCATCGCCCACAGAAAAGACTATTCTAGACATGCCGCTCATCAAAGCAAATTCAACTTGCACTTTAAGGGAGCAATAAAAGCAGACAACTAAGGTCATCCCAGAGATCAAATGACTCTAAAAGGGCAGCCCAAACGGACCACATCAATTAATCAGGAAACTTACAATTTTTTTTTTTTTTTTTTTTTTTTTAACCTTTATTTAACCACGAAGTCCCATTGAGATTCAGAATCTCTTTTACAATTTTGATTCTTATGATTTCCATGGGACAAAAGATAGTAACAGTACAGAGTAAAAGAGTTCTGAGACACACATTGCTGACTGTAAACCAGTCCCGCACACGTCACTCACACACACACACACACACACACACACTATTACTTTCTAACTGAAGAAATGTCGAAGCTGTGACCTGCCTTGCCAGGCCCTCGGTCGCCACGGTCAAGTGCACGCAAAGCAGAAGCGTGGAACCTATTAATGCACATCCACACACACACACTCACTCATTATGTCACTGAAAGGGAAACGAAGCCCGTCTTGTCATTCTATACAAAGTAAAAGCGACTGACTGAAAACCACATGCCCTCTTGAGAGAACAAACAACTCCTCTGCAAAAATGTAACACAACTGTGACCTTATTTGACTTTCTCTCACTCCAGGCCTGCAAACTCCAGCGGGGTGAAAAAGGTGACAGTTCTGGGAATAGGGCCGGACGTTGCTTATTGCCGAACAAAGCTAGCTGAAGTAGCTGAAGAGGAACAACAGTTACTTAATACAGTCGATTTTTCCAACAACATTCATATGGTGTGTGTGTCAAATATGTGTCTGCTTGGTTTTGAAAGTTTAAAAGATATTTAGGGCCCACAAACAGTAACATTAACTGCAGTAAACAGCATGGCTATGTACTGAATTGCTTATGCTGACTGTCAATGCTCCTTTACACTTCCTGTATTTCCAGGGGAGAAATGACATCATCTCCTGGATCACACTCTGTGTAGCCTCGAGGCCACGCACCCTCCAGTTGTTGCGCCATCATCCCCTCTGTTGCATTTTTAAACATGTTGGGAGAGAGGTACAGCAACCATGAGGTGTCTTCAGCCTACATAAAGTGAGTCTCTTTATTGCCAAAACACCTGAACCTGTGTATACTTGGCCTCAGCCATAATAAAAACATCACCTGGGGGTGCAAAACCACTTTGGTGGTTGACAGCTAGATTAGCAGTTTCAAATGTAGACCGAGTTAGTGTTTGAATGTAGGTGGGGGCTCAGCACTTACACTCTGTCTCTCGCACATCTGATGAAGGTAGGCCCTTCCTCCAACAATGACTATCTGAGCATTGCGTGGATTGCTCAGGTATGCTGCCAGCTGCCTCTGTCTTGATCGGTACCAGCAAACATAGAAGAATATCTTGATGATGATGAATATAATAACAACTCTGTAAAGGGCAGAGGAATTGGCAGAAAGAGAGGAGGAAATTGGGATATGGATGGGTATTAAGCACACAATTTAAACTCTACCTTTATCATATTGTTTTTAATTCATTATACAATTAAACAAGATATACTCACATGTACCAGTACAGTTCCATTTTTTGTGAGATGTCAGTCACTGAGTACAGGCTCTCATAGCTGGGGAACAACTTGCTGATGATCCCTAGCCAAAACCACAAATTGCCCTACAAAGGGAACAGTTTTGAGGAATGATTAGAGAGGCAATATTTATTACCTTCACTTAATTAATACATTACAATAACAGAGGTTATCAGGTTATCATTAACACTAACAAACTTTTATAAACCCAGAAGCTCAGAGCATCTCACCACTTCAGCTAACGTTAGGTTGAGTTAAACGTTCAAGCACTTTCTGTAACTTAAACCAGATGGTTAAACATTACGTTTAGCACGACAGCTTCTCCTTTAACTTAGCAAAACGCAAACGCAAACACAAGAACAAGATTTTTTTAACTTACTTTCTAGCAATGGCTACTCGGCCTTCACAGTTAACTGAGAAGGTGTGCCATTTCCCTTTTCCTGTAGTCTCTTGAGATGCGAGTAAGTCAGAGCTCCAGGAACCAGTTGGGGCTACTGCTAATTTAGCTAGGCTATCGTGTCGCAGGCCAGAACAGCAACAACATCCGTTAACGTTACTCTATTTACATCCGCCGCGAACAAAACAATAACTGAAATTGACCTGTTTTATGAGCATACGTTACCTTCTTGGTATTATATACCAGGTCGCTAGCTAGTTACTCGGCAGGCTACTCGTTAACTTAACATTGAGGAAACAACTAAACTAGTCCTATAGAGTTTTAGCTAGCGTTAACTTAGCACATCCTTGTGCGTTCAACGCTGCCTTCACAGTGGGCGGCGTTCACGGTACTGTTTCTTTCAGTGCTTCCAGTAAGCAGCTGCACCGCCTCAACGCATTACGGGTAGCTTTTACGTTCATGTGCTGTTGTTCCTGTCAGAAATTGTAGCCCCAAATGGCGACCGCTGTATAAGCAGCACGGAGCTACTTTGTGCTTCCACAGGATAATTCAAATAAGAAAGCCTAACTCTGGTGGGTTCGTAGTTTATGATTTTTTCCCCCCAAAATATGCCCCCTCCTGGAAAAAAAATCCTCAAACGTCACAACTGTGAAAGGATTCAAAATAGTAAGAACAAATTATCTGTCTTCCCGCATCTCGGCAGCGGCGTTGTCACCACCACAAAAAAAGATTTGATTGATTTAAAAAGTGATATTACTGTGTTGTTTTTTTTTTTACTGCTGGGCATTTAATTGAGTCCTATCATAAGTGTCAATATTTCCTGGGGTCATTGAAAGTACCATCGTCTGACAAAGGGGCAAAATTGGACCAAATATAGAATATTTTAAAAACTATGTCAATATATTACACATGTAGATCAACGTGTTATAAACTATAATTATTAGAAGGCGAAATGATTGCAAACGTAACCTTGTTTAAAAGTAGATGTTCAGTTAATGTCGAGTCTTGAAAGTTTCCCCATGATACCTTCCAAGAACTATTGAAAAACTCATCGAAACACCCATTCAAATTCAAACATATATAAAGATGTCAATTAATGACAAATTCTAAATATTCTAAAGGGTTTTTCCTATCTCTTGATTCTTTGCCCCATCTAGTGGCCACTGTTTTATAATACAATGTACCATTTCAAAAAGACAACCACATACAGAATGACACAGTAAACTACAGACTCAAGTTAATACGTAAATATATATAAATATGAAAAGCAGACCTATCAAAATTTACAGGTGTGTGACTGAGCTAATTTCTAAGCAAATCACAAGGAACATTTCTGCAACATTTTCAAGATCTCTAAAACAACAGATTTGACAGTATTTTAAACAAAGATGTTTTAAGGGTAAAAGCTTTCTTAAAATAACTGACAATGCCGCACCTAAACCATAAATCCAATTCAATAAAGCTAAAAGATCACAGTGACATCCATAGGTACAACCCAACAGTTACAGAAAAAAGCACTGACACTATTTTTTGTTGTGTTTCTGTTCCAGTGCATATAACAAACACACATTTTTATTACAATTTATAAGCATCTTTTATTACACGTTATTTCAAAATTCAAGTCATCCTGTAGTCTTTTAGTCAAAAACAAACAACTATTTGTAGCACATGTGTCTGATTTATAAAACAATAACACGTAAGAGTGAATGATTATTTTCTGTGAACGAGACTGTGCTTTGCAATGCTCTCCACCAAATGTATGTAAGATATGTAATGTAAATTTAAGTTCAATTTACATTACATCTTAAGCTATTTGTCCAATAAACCAAACCTGCCTTTCAGAGATACAGTTTTCACAATGCTTTCACAGTGAAGTGACACTTCACCATTATCCGAATGTTCAATGTTAGTCCATTATCTTTCTTATCGGTTATCTTCCACAATGATGGTCCTTCTTGGGTAGGTGTCTATGTCCACAAATATGTAGCGAAACTCATATTTTCCAGTTTCAGGGTTCTGCAAAACAACAAGTTAAAACAGTATCTCAACTTGGCAGATATTTGTAAAATCATTTCAAATCATGTCTAAATATCACCTCTATACATTTAGTCTCTCTGCTGTCACACGTGACATTACTTATGGATTTTTTTGCAGATACTTTAAATTTAGAATAAATATTGGGATAGCTCAATATTAATAGTACTGCTCTTAACTAAAGGAAAATGCCAACCTCTTTTGACTCTGAATGTACAGTCCCTTTGAGGCCTGGCTCAGAGCCTTCGATGTAAAATGTAAGTCTCATGTGCTTCAGTCCGTCCTTCAGGTACTCCATGTGACTATAGTGGAAACACACACACACACACACACACACACACACACACAAAAATACTATAATGCCTCAGCACTACCACCACATAGATGCTAATTTATCTACTGTATACTTTCACCTATTTAACACTCAAATCCAAGATATATCCGGTTTGTGAAATGGTACTTTTGATTTGATTGAAGACTTTTTTGTTCACTGTCAGACTGAACTGAGGTAATAAAAGCATATGATAATTTGAAGTGACAAAACTTATTTATTACTTCACGCACTAATCACCAACAGCTTATTTTGACAGAGTAACGAAATTCCCACCTGACTTGCTGCCTCCTTCCTCGACGGGTAGTCTCCCCATAACACTTGATTGGCTCCCCAAATGCACCAATCACCTACATGTTCAACAAACATAAATGTTTTATTGCACTTCATTTTTCAACAGGAGATAACCTCAAGACCTTGGCAAACTGTCAGAACAGATATCAACACAATATACACAATAAGCACCACAATACGGGCACGCATTTAGTGTAACACTGCATATTATCCAGTATAGGTGTGAGCTGTCTCTGGGTTATTGAGCTTAACAAGAGAAGTACTGTTTGGTCTCAGCAATTTGTGATTTTAATCTCACCTCTGGGTGTAACTTGACTTTGTTGAAGGCTTTCCCGTAGATTTTATTTGGACTCGAGGAAGAAAACAGCTCCTGGAACACCACATATAACAGCCCACCTGAAACACACACACACACACACACACACACACACACACATAAACGTCCATATCCATTACCTGACTTGAAATGAGACTGCAAATCTGCTCGTTTGTGATATGCCACTCTTGAAATCTTGAGGTTGTCGTCACCTGTCACTCCAAGCCCGATAAGGACGACTATCAAGTAGGTGAAGTCTCTGCCGGCTTCTTTCACTGGAAGATATTGTGGGTGGGAATTATTAGACAATCAACTAACTGAACATTTGCAGTTTACAGTCTCACAAATACAGGTGGCCCAGTTGGAAAATTGCACTGGACTCTGGTCACTTGTGATGACGATTTGTCACAATTCAGATGCTATTTCTAGACTCAACAGTTTTTGGGTGTATAAATGAAAGAAATACATTATCATATCTTATCATGCAAGGAGCAAGAGAGGCCACAACTCTGCCGGCCCCTGGCTTACCTTTTTGTGCAGCTGAAGGCTTTGGACTCGCACCCTGATACCTGTAAACTGACTTGTCTCTCTCTTCTGGGCTGCTTTTATTTCTGGCTGTAAAGTCCAGGGAAATAGCCCGCCACCTCTGAGTTTGAACGAAGCAGCTGAGTGCTGGCTGAACACAAGCAGGAGCCCCGACTCTTCTGTGGAAGGTCAGTCTTGATACTGTGGACACGGTCCTGTGTGTGAGGAGGACCGAGCTGACCTGTGTGAGCTTGGATTTTTGCACAGAGTATTGTGTCGCTGCCTGTTGTAGATTCCGGTGCAGGGCTTTCAATATCTGCGTATAAGCCATGATTGTGTCCTCTGTGAGTGAAGCTTAAACTCCTTAAACCTGTAGCAAGGCCGAGTTAACTCTTTAGCACGGTCAACAGCTAGGTAGCTGAAGATGTGAAATCAAACTAACCTACCGCAATGTATAATAACATAACATTAATTTATTATACGACATGAATGTACTACTTTAACCACTGACTAACCTACTCGAACATATTTGCAGGGGTGGTCTGCGTCAAATCAATTCCAGAGTCGCATACGTTTGTCGTCACACAACATATAGGATTCATGGGAGACTGAGTTTTTAACTTTAACTGAACCTCCCAACGGGAGGACCTTTCTGACGAGGAGAGATGCCAATATAATAAACTACGAAATAAATAACGACATATATAAAGCAAAAGCGAGCATGTGTTAGATCCAGGAAAAAGTTGATAAAAGAGGGCGAGCAAAACTCCGCCTACTTCTTTAGACTGGAAAAAAATACATACATTTCTTAACCGGCTACTGTTGATCAGATTAAGGTAGATGGTAAAATTATTGTTAACCCTAGAGAAATAGCCTCTTATTTCTAGGCCTATACACTTCTAATTATTGTGAGGCAACTGCCAACTCCTTTACAGAATCTATCGGCCACTGCAAAGTTATACAGGTGAAACTCGAAAGATTAGCATATTGTGCAAAAGTTCATTTATTTCAGTAATTCAACTTAAAAGGTGAAACTAATATTTTATATAGACTCATTACATGCAAAGTGAGATATTTCAAGCCTTTATTTGATATAACTTTGATGATTGCATACAGCTTATGAAAACCCTAAATTCAAAATCTCAGAAAATTAGAATATTACATGAAATCAACAAACAAAAAGGATTTTAAATACAGAAATGTCAGCCCTCTGAAAATTATAAATCATGCATGTGCGCTCAGTACTTGGTTTGGGTCCCTTTTGCATGGATTACTGCCTCAATGCGGCGTGGCATGGATGCTATCAGCCTCTGGTACGGATGCTATCAGCCTGTGGCACGGCTGAGGTGTTATGGAAGACCAGGATGCTTCAATAGCGGCCTTCAGCTCTTCTGCATTGTTCGGTCTCATGTCTTTCATCTTTCGCTTGGCAATGTCCCATAGATTCTCTATGGGGTTCAGGTCAGGCGAGTTTGCTGGCCAATCACACACAGTAATCCCATGGTCATTGAACCAGGTTTTGGTACTTTTGGCAGTGTGGGCAGGTGCCAAGTCCTGCTGGAAAATGAAGTCAGCATCTCCATAAAGCTCGTCTGCTGAAGGAAGCATAAAGTGCTCTAAAATGTCCTGGTAGACGGCTGCGCTGACTCTGGACTTAATAAAGCACAGTGGACCAACACCAGCAGATGACATGGCTCCCCAAACCAACACAGACTGTGGAAACTTCACACTGGACTTCAAGCAACTTGGACTGTGTGCCTCTCCATTCTTCCTCCAGACTCTGGGACCTTGGTTTCCAAATGAGATGCAAAATTTACGCTCATCAGAAAAGAGGACTTTGGACCACTGAGAAACAGACCAGTTCTTTTTTCCCCTTTAGCCCAGGTAAGACG